GATATCCAGAAATGGCAATCTGATGGTATGGCAGACGTGCTTCAGGTGTCACCTCAAGATGCAGGATCCAGCTCCTCGGGGGTAGGAATAAGATCCCCGTCGAGTCCCTTGCTCAGACTGCAAGCCCATCGGGGCACCGTGGACCGAATCCCTGAATACCCAAATGACACCCGAACGGAACTTGAACCTCAGTATCGTGCTAGCCCTAGTGCTGAACGACTGTCGTCCTCAATTACTGCTTCTGGGCATTCGGTACATTCACGGCCAGGGCAGATCACTAATTCCCCTCGTTTCCCTGCATCTGTTCGGGGCATTGTCCTTGTATCGGTGCATGAGCTTCCCGATAAATATCGCGCCATATTCCCTTTCCCGGTCTTCAACGCAATCCAATCCAAGTGTTTCCAATCCGTTTACAGGAGTGACCACAACATCGTCCTATCGGCCCCAACAGGAAGCGGCAAGACCGTGATCATGGAGCTGGCGATATGCCGATTAATGAGTACATCCAAGGACGAAAGGTTCAAAGTGATATACCAAGCGCCCACCAAGTCTCTATGCTCAGAGAGATTCCGAGACTGGAATGAAAAGTTCCTTACCTTGGGGCTGCAGTGTGCTGAGCTGACCGGCGACACCGATCACACGCAGCTGAAGAGCGTGCAAAACAGCCAGATCATCATCACCACCCCCGAAAAGTGGGACAGCGTGACCCGGAAGTGGAAAGATCATGCACGATTGATGCAGCTGGTCAAGCTGTTCCTTATCGACGAGGTCCACATTCTCAAAGAAGCCCGAGGAGCCACACTCGAGGCCGTCGTTTCCCGTATGAAGACCAATGGTTCGAATGTACGGTTCGTTGCCCTGAGTGCGACAGTGCCGAACTCTGAGGACATTGCGACATGGCTTGGTCGCGACGCGACAAATCAGCACCTACCTGCGCATAGGGAACGCTTCGATGAGAGCTTCCGTCCCGTTAAGCTGCGAAAGTTCGTCTATGGCTATCGGTCACAGGGCAATGACTTTGCCTTTGACAAGATGTGCAACACCAAGTAAGCCAAGTCGACTTATGTCGCATTTTGCGAGTCTTCGTTAACGTCATGATTGCAGACTTCCTGATCTGATCAAGGCGCATTCTTGTAAGAAGCCCATAATCGTTTTCTGCTGCACTAGAATCTCTGCCGTCTCGACGGCGAAAGAGCTTGCTCGACTGTGGTCAATGTCCAATCCTCCTGCCAGACTATGGAAAGGAGCAAGCAGACCTCTGGGGGCCCAGAATGAAGACTTGAAGGGTAGGTTCTGACCCAGAAGACATGAAATCACAGTTCATGATGCTGAACATTTGAGCAGGGATATTGACTGCCGGTGTCGCCTTTCACCATGCAGGCCTTGATGCCGTTGACCGGCGCACAGTTGAAACAGGGTTTCTTCAAGGGCATATCAGCATTATATGCTGCACGTCCACTCTCGCAGTCGGCGTCAATCTTCCGTGCCATCTCGTGGTCATCAAAGGCACCGTGGGCTGGCAAGGGGGTGGCTGTCAGGAGTATTCCGATATGGAGATCATGCAGATGCTCGGCCGTGCGGGTCGACCACAGTTTGACAACAGTGCCACAGCGGTGATCATGACCAGAAAGGAACGCGAGTCTCACTACGAGAAGCTTGTCTCGGGATCTGAGAGCCTTGAGAGCTGTCTGCATCTGAATCTGATCGATCACCTTAACGCAGAGATCGGGTTAGGTAATGTGACTGACATTAATTCCGCCATCAGGTGGCTGGGGGGCACATTTCTGTTCGTGAGACTCAGAAGAAATCCAGCACACTACCAGCTGAAAGAGACTGCAGATGGAGATGGGGAAGATAAGATGCTTCGACAGATCTGTGAGAAGGACATTACACTTCTCCAAGAGTATGGGTTGGTCACAGTTGATGGCCTCCAATCAACCAGTGTCGGGGAAGCAATGGCTCGCTATTACGTGCGGTTCGAAACAATGAAGCATTTGCTCACATTGAAGCCCCAGTCTACTATGCCACAGATAGTAAGTCAAGGGCGTTGGATGTGCATGTTAGAGCTAAGACTAAACAATCAAAGCTATCCGTCGTCGCTCAAGCGGACGAATTCCTGGACATTCGTCTCAAAGCCGGAGAGAAGTCTCTCTACAAGGAGATCAACCGCTCCAATGGGATACGCTTCCCCATCAAGGTCGATATAGCGCTTTCAGCCCACAAAATTTCGCTTCTGATCCAGTCCGAACTGGGTGCGGTGGACTTCCCGGACGGCGAACAGTTCCAGAAATTCAGATTTGTCTTCCAACAGGACAAGAGTTTCGTCTTCAGCCACATAAACAGATTGATTCGGTGCATCATAGACTGTCAGATCTCCCTTGAGGACGCGGTGACCTTGCGAAACGCCCTGGAGCTGGCAAGGAGTTTTGGGGCCAAGGTCTGGGATACCTCTCCGCTACAACTGAAGCAGCTTGAGCAGATTGGGATCGTGGCGGTCAGGAAACTGGCCGCAGCTAATATCACAAGTATTGACGCGCTGGGGCAGTGTGAGCCGCATCGCATTGACATGATCTTGAGCAAAAATCCTCCCTTCGGCGCGAAGTTGCTGGAGCGTGTTGCGAGCTTCCCTAGACTCCGAGTAGCCATCAAAATGACCGGCAAGGTACGCTGAGCCTGCAAGGCATAGACCCTCCCCAACAGTCACTAAGGACAAGTAGGAAATCAAACCGGCAGCGCCGGTGAGACTTCGCCTCAAGGCAGAGATCGCGTTCATGAACGACAAGTGCCCTTCCTTTTATCTGAAACGTCCCGTCTATGTTTGCTTCTTGGCTGAGGTATCAGACGGTCGTCTCCTGGAGTTTCGACGCATCAGGTAAGCTTGGGATACTGCCGCTATGACAGTCATTCAAGCTGATGTGCCAAGTGCGAGTAAGATGTCGAACGGCCAGGAGATTTTGCTCAGTGCGGAATTAAAGGACAGGGACCAATTCGTGTCATGTAGTGTTTCGTGTGACGACATAGGTGAGGGCATGCGTGCCCCTTAGACTCCTTGTCTGTCGCTGACGCTGGCTAGCTGGGACACTGAGATCCGCGGTGCTGAAGCCCGAGCTTCCATCGACACTATTCTTTTCTCGTCCGAACACAAGGCCCGAGGCTGCTGCTGCGAAGCCTCTTATCAATGCCTCAACCTGTGATAGCAATGATGGTTCTCAGAGCAAGCGACCCACTCCACAGAGTGTTATCACTCTGGATAGCGACGAGTCGTTGTTCGACGGGTTGCTGCAGGAAGGTAGGTTCGGCGTCCTGCATAATCCATGAAAGACCACTAACCTGATCTTACAATAGAGGACGACAATTGGTCCTTGAGCACATTGCCAGCGCCCCAAGAAGGCAAAACACGGAAGAATGGCTCGGGTGAGAGCAAGGGCTTTGACAGCAAGGCCAAGACCAGCCACGTTGAAGAACCAACACCAATGGAGAACGGCAGGTGGGCATGTAACCACCGCTGCAAGGATAAGACTGTGTAAGGAGCTATGGTATTTTTCTAAAGGGAAGTTACTGACTAGAGTAGGTGCAAGCACTTCTGTTGTCGAGATGGGCTTGACAAGCCCCCAAAGACGAGTAAGAAACAGCCATGCCTTGGGGCCGAAAAGTCGAAGGGGCTCAACCAAACAACCCTAGCAGCATCGATGGCCAGGAAGGATGAGAATACAGCTGACGCCGAGCTGTGTGGTGGTTTGAGCTTGACCAAAGAGTCTTCTACTTCTATGAATCGTAAGTCGCAGAATGGTCCAGATCATACTTCAGAAAATGAACCAGCGGAGCCTTGGTCCAACGGAGGTCCTAACGAAGATGTGTCGCCTGGCTTGAACGAAGGCAAACTCCTGAGAGAGTCTAGCGATGACACCTTCAGCGATTTCCCTTCACCTGCCGCTTTGTTGCTTGGGGATCAGACAAATGCGAAGAACGATAATGGTGGGCCTTGCAAGAAAGTCGAGATGGACGATGACACATTAGACCTGGATGACAATTGGTCGGATGATGATGTGTGGCTTGCTGTTCAGTCACCGGTTGAAGTACCTTCTTCCACGGAGAAGACTAAGGCTCAGCACACTTTGTCGTCTGAGGATCGTGTTGACGATTCATCCAACCAATCTAAGCAAAGGTAAGGTAGCAGACATCTAGGTGATGACCACTGGCTGACACTGGTTTGCAGAGTGGAAGAGCCCCCTTTCGATGCAAACCATGGAAAGAAACGAAAGCTGTCTCCAAGCGATGACGAGAATATGAAAAGGGTCAAGTCAGATGGAAAGCCTGTGGAAGAGGAATGCAACAAGGAGAATAATCCGCCGGAAGAGCTTCAAAGAGTTGTATCTGCCGAACAGGTTGTTGTGCCCAAAGGCTGGGAGGACATTGACCCTGCACTGTTGGAGGAGTTCAAGGATATCATTAATCTGTTGTAAGAGGATGAAAGGAGTCTGTGGCTTGCTGCAAGGCACTGAGTAGTTCTGCTTGTTTGTTGTACCCAATAATAGTCAGCGTTAATATAGCAGAGGATGGGTGTTCACGCTGAAGGAGACAACAGAGTCCAGCTTTGATACCATAAAGAAGCTGAAAGTGTTTCAATTTCTTCTCTCACCATCCAAAGCAGCATGATCTTTCACTTTCTACTGTTTCAATCCATTCGGTGGATCACGGGGTTCTTGTGGCGTCATCGGTGTATCTCTTTGAAAGTCTCCCAGTGAATGTTATGAGATAGAGAAGCCAGAGGAAAAGGAACATCTAGATGCCGAAATGATCCCATATAAAGATGGGTTGTGATGTGAGGATCCTTGTTGTTCTCTTCCTCCGCGTTCCATCAACACCATCTTCATCTCTCCTGTCTCTGTTCGTTCTATCCACATCCACATCAACACTTGTGGACAGGCGGTTTGAATACAGAGCTCTTGTCATCAAGAAAGGTATGTGATCCACAAAGCTGTTGATATTCAGGTTTTCGTTCAGCTGCATGTTTATGTCTGTTGGCTGTGATGGTGGAGATATCAAATCTCCATCGATCTCTGATTCTCCCACCGTCTACCGTTCTCATCCCCAACCTCTATCCACGCGATCAGTTGCACAACACTTCAGGAAGAACCCCACAAGAAGCATACTCCACTGTATAACTGTTCTGGTGTTTGAGATGCCCTCTCCTTGTGTTACTGATGCAGTCCTCTGTTCACCCCCCGTGGCCTGCCTGCTTCTGTACAGGCTGCGCGCCCTGCACGCGAGCTTGACCGTGTCCTGCAACGCCATCGATGATGGAAAGCATGACACTGAACCACCCTGTGCCCCCTTTCATCTTGCCTGACATCCTTTCTGTGGCTCCGCTTGTGCTAGTGATATTGATCCATCATGGAAGTGAGACATGTGCTGACTGCGGCCCAACCTGCCAGATCTAGTTGTGAGATCCGGGGCCCCCAAGATGGGGAAGCTCAATTATCTAGCGGTGCGAGAACACTTTCAGATGCTATATCAAAAACTGCCCTAAGGAAACAGGCTGGCTAATGATAGACATAACAGAGACGCATCAGCGGTCTCAAGGCCGGCCAAGCCGTGTCCAAAGACCTGGTAAGTTTGAACCGAACCAACCCCCATGGCGCAACAGAGTCACCCAACTGAACATCTCTGAGCCTAAGTTCCTGATCTGACATCACAGAAAAAACGTTTCCCACCAGGTGCAGGTTCCAAATCCGCCGCACGAGACCCCTTTGTCGAGATCGACGTGAGCGGCAAGGTGTTGACCGACGAGGGCCTGGCCCAGTTCATCGGAGATCTGGTGGACTGCCTCGAGTTCAGGGACCAGGACCACCCCATGGGACTGGCCAAAGTCACCGAGCTGCATCTGTCCGGCAACCGGCTGACCGTGGACTCGCTGCCGATGCTGGCGGAAGTGGTCGAGCGGAGTGCGGGCGATCTGCGCGAGCTCGATCTGTCCAACAACGACATCCAGATCACGACCCCCGATGCCGTCCGGAAGTGGACTAATTTCCTGAACTCGTTCCAGAAGTGCTTCGTGCTTCGCAAGCTGGACCTCGGTGGTAATGCCCTCGGTCGTGCGGGCGTCGAGCACCTGGCGCGCATTTACATGAAATCGGACCTGGATTTCCTCGAGGGCGATGCGCATGAAGTGCTTGAGTTGGACTCTGAGGAGGAACACCCATCGACTCCAGAATCCGTGGCTGAGGGCGTGGCTCGATTGAAGGTCATGGCCGGTAAAGAGAACGAAGGCACCGCTCGGAAGAAGAAGTCCCCGTCTCTGCCCAAGCCAGAGCAGAAAAACGGTAAGTTGGGATTCCCCTTCCCACTATGTCAATGACAGGACAGATAAGCTGATATGCTTTTCTTTTGGTGTCTTAAGCTCATACGCACGCCGAATTGAAGAAATTCGCCTGCACGCGTGGCCTTCGCTCAATCCCATACTTGATCCTCACAAATGTCTCGATGACGAGTCATAGTGCCATTCAGCTGATTCCCATGCTCGACATTCAGCGTGCCCCCGAGTCGCTGTTGAACTTTCTTCCGGTGCTTGGCAAAGCCACGGTGCTGCCTGAGAGTACGGCCTCATGCAAAAGCATCATCTGGCGCCCTAACGACAAGCTGGCTCCTCATGTGCTCCGCATGATCGAGGTAGCCGAAGCTCTTCAGCAGCTCCGAGAGTCCAAAGTTGAAACCGAATTCGAGGCAGCAGATCAGGGTGATGACAACAACAACTTCGCGGAGGCCAGCGACGCTTCCAGCGAGACGAGTCAAGACATCGATAGTGCTACCCAGCAGAAGTTACAGAGCAAACTGCGAACCGAGTTCACTCGAGTTTGCAAACGCGTACGTCTCGAGGTTATCAGGGCTGACGGCGTGCACAGCAGCACAATCTGGAGCACCGCCTTGAAAATGATGCTTGTTTCGCGCGCTCTGCTTCTAGAAGACCGGGACCGTCCCATAGATTGCGAAGAAAATGACATCCTAGAGCGGATGCCGATCCCTCGACCGACCGAAGGCCGGGTAGTCTCGTTTCCCATGGATCCGGACAGCGATGATAGCTCCTCTGGCGAGCCCACATACTACCATGTCGAGAACGCCGCGCCGTATCAGATACGCAGAGCTCAGCCGCCGACTTCGGCGCCGCTGATTAGTTTTCTCCCAGTCCGACGCAACAACTTGAGCATCTCGGAGGCTTCTGCAGTGAACACAACCGATCAGCACTCCCGCTCTGCAAGTTCGGGTCCCTTCCATCCGAGTGCCGTTAGCTTCGACCTCCAGTTTCCCAACCTGCCGTCGACAGCCCCGGGACCTCCTCCAGCACTGCGTATCCCTTCTGGCGATCTTTCTGATACCAACCAGACGACCAGAAGAGCCCCTCCACCCTCTCAACCGGCGGCGACTGCCACTCGAAGACGCACCGTTCGCGACCCTGGCAAACAGGAATGGCGCTATGATATTCCTTTCAAAGTCTGGCGTCGGATCATCGCTGAAGCAGTCGGGGCCGATGGGATCCTGGATCTCGAGCAACAAACTCGCATCATGCACTACGCAAGTGACTGGGATGTCGTTGCTTATGGTGTGCAGATCAAGGGCACGGAGGTTCACCAGCAGCTCTGGAAATTCCTAGAATCCGTGGGCTGCTTCACCTACAGTCCCCTGTGAATTGGAAACCCCTTAAATTTGTAGAGTGAGCAAAGTGGTTTGCATCCGCAACGATCTGGGCCCTCCATCATGGAAGATGGTGTCTATCTATCAGACAACAAGCAAGTTTGATGAAGAACGAATTCGCGGATTTGAGATCGGGGATGATTACCGGTAGGGAAAGTTCGAAGAACGCGTGTGGGTGAATGAATTGTATCTGGTGTGTGCTAGATGTATCCTCGGAAAGTTGTTTGCTGGCCTGACATGCTGGGTGGTGATTTGGTGCTGACTGGATGGGATTCCGACCTGAGATGTGTTTTTCCACGGCCGATTTCGAATGTGTCCATAGTTCATTTCATTAGGCTTACATTTACTTCTAAGTACAAATCCAAAAAAAAGAAGATAGGCAACAGCCCTTGATTGCTGACACAAAAAGAGTGCCCTTTCTTTCTGCAAGCTTATCATTCTTATCGCCCGCCCCACGTGATCCTTCTCCGATTTCCACCAGCTTCTCCAACGTCATTTCGCTGAGGTCCTCTCCATCTTACTCGTACTTGTGAATAAACGAAAAAATTAGGGACTTGATTTGCCACTTGTATAGACCTCGACGGCATTTATTAGACCTGTTCAGCCCCCCCGCCCAGGCTGATTTTCATCTTCTTAATCTAAATCTAAATCTCACATTCATTTTGGAAGTCCAGAACCAAACAAGATGCGCACGCGACGAACCAACACGCAACCCGTGGAAGACACCTCCGTCGCCCCCGAAACCTTCAGCGACGGCCTCCCTCTCCCCAAACTCATCGCCTTCGACCTCGACTACACCCTATGGCCCTTCTGGGTCGACACCCACGTCAGCGCCCCGATCAAACCCCGCGACAATAACTCGCGCTGCACAGACAAGTAAGCTCTCGCCTCATTCTCTCCGAGCACATCCCACGCCATCTCTCCAAGCGCACTCCATTAAACCCCAACCCAACCAACCAAGCACCTCCAAACTAACACCTCTGATCTGCCGCAGATGGAACGAATCCTTCACCTTCTACCCGGCCGTCCCCTCCATCATCCACAGCTGCAAGACCAAGAACATCCCGCTGGCCGTGGCCTCGCGCACCCACGCCCCGGACCTGGCACGCGACATGCTCAAGGCGCTGCACATCATCCCCACCTTCAGCGACAACCCCGCGGCGCACCGCACCAAGACCGTGCGCGCCCTGGACTACTTCGACCACCTCCAGATCTTCCCGGCCACCAAGACGCAGCACTTCGCCAAGATCCAGCAGGCGAGCGGGGTCGCGTACGAGGAGATGCTGTTCTTCGATGATGAGGCGCGGAATCGGAACGTGGAGACGGAGCTCGGGGTCACGTTTTGTCTGGTGAGAGATGGGGTGACCAAGGCGGAGGTGGATCGCGGGGTGTGGGCGTGGCGGAGGAGGAATGGTATCCGGAAGGAGGTGGAGGTTGGAGAGGGGGAGGGGGAGGGGGAGGATGAGTAGAGATGATAAAACGAGATGGGTTAGATGTTTTTAGATAGATACCCGGTTTGGGATTGGATGTGATTAGGTTAAATGATTTCATAGACATGCTATACTTCTGGAATTCCTACCGTACTTTACAGCTAACTAGAATTGACCGTCAACGGGGTACTCGGTATACTCTCCTGAAATGCGGGCAGGCCAGCAAGCCGGCCGCATATCGGAACCCACCCCGAATCTCCGCAATCTTATCTTTTTCCGAGTCGCAGCTTAGCTTCACAACAACAACAACAACACAATCCTTCAATTCATCCTCCCACACAACGCTACTAGAACACACCGACACCACCTCCCCCCTATCTACACACTACATCACACCAACCAACGAATCCCCACAAAGCACCAAGAGAATAACAAAAATGGATTCCCGCCCACAACCACCAACAACCCACCTCAAACCACCACCCCCCTTTCAACCTCAACCACAACCACAACCACAACCACAACCACAACACCAAAACCAACCACAACACCCACACCAACAACAATCACAACAACACCACCACCACCGCCCCTTATCCACCACCACCACCACCACAACATCATCAACAACCCGCCCCCCACTCGCCATCCACCCCAGCGCCCAAATCTCCGACACCACAATCTTCCAAGGCACGCACCCGATCTCCATCGGCGCCCACACCATCATCCACCCGCGCGCCCGCCTCTACTCCCACGAGGGCCCTATCCTCATCAGCAACAACTGCATCATCAGCGAGAAGACCGTCATCGGCACCCCGGCCCCCTTCCCCGGCAACTCGAGACCCGCCCCTTCCTCCTCCTCCACTGCCACAACCACAGCCGGTGATGGCACCGCAGCAGCAGCAGCAGCAGCAGCCGCCGCCGCCCTCCCCATCCGCATCTCCTCGCGCGTGACCATCGGCCCGGCAGTGTCTATCGCCCCAGGCGCGCATATCCATTCCGGGGTGGTGATCGATGCGTTGGCCGTGATTAATCGGCGGGTGGATGTCGGGGCGCATGCGCGGGTGTGTGCGGGCTGTGAGATTGCGGCGGGGACGGGGGTGGGGGAGTGGGTGGTTGTTTGGGGCAGTGGGGGAGGGGCTGGGCAGCGGCGGCGGCGGAGGGAGACGCGTGGGGTGGTTTGGGGGGTGCATCCATGGTCTCAATCACAGAATCAAAATCAGAATCAGAGTCAGAGGGTTGATGGGGAGAAGGCTGGGGAGGCGCCGTTGGAGGCGAGGACGTTGGAGGATGCGCGGTTGATGGTGCTGGATCTGGAGAGGGAGGCTGCGGGGAGGTTGTTGGTGGCGCAGAATCGGAGGAGGGGGTGAGTGAGGCTCCCTCGAAGGGTCATAGTTGGAAAGGGTGAAGACCGATCGGGGGGGCTTCGAATTGACGGATGGTTTTCCAGCGAGATGCATGGTGTTTCTTTAATGTTGGTTATACCCGGATAGAATATGGGGGATTTCGCCTACTCGATTTTATACTCTGTTGACTCTTAATGATATGAAACAGTCATACCCCATTTAGGGTATTCGAGTCATGTACAACTCATCAGCCGTGAAAGACAAAAGAAAGTATGATTCTCATCCCGCTAAGGATTACAACATTCGTAGGTTCACTTCGGTTTCCTTACAAGCCGAAGAACTGGGACATAAAATACATGCATGTATAAAAAAGGAATGAAAAGTCAAAATGTAACAACCACAATCCATAATCACAATCATCTAAGAACCCCGCGTTTGACCCCCACCACCACCACGCATTCTCTTGCCAGCTGCTCCATCGCCGCCGTCCCCGCCGCCATCATCCCGAGCGCGCTTGTTGCCTTGAGGAACAAACTGACGCGCGTTCGCACTAAGCGCGCCGCCACGACCACCCCCAGGACTGGCCGGGCCGTGCTGTGCCTGGCCGAGATTGGCTGTCTGCACGTTCTGATTGCCACCCCGGCCTTGGCCTCCACGCCCTCCACGACCGCGAGGCAGACCCGAGCCGCGCTGGCTAGGCTGGCCTTGACCCTGACCTTGCTGCTGGGCGCCTTGTTGGCCTTGTTGACCAAAAGGATTCTGTTGACCGCCGCCACGCCCGCCTGTTCGACCACCGCGCGCAACTGGAAGTCCGGACTGGAGAGCTCTTAGGACGCCGCCTGAGGCAGCACCAGCTGGAGGTTTGTTGGGAAGCGACGCTGGCTGTTTGTTCTGACTTTGTCCGAAAGGATTAGGCACCGCGCCGGCCGCACCCTGCTCAGGAGCCGTTTCGTCAGCTGCTTGTGTCTGCGGTGCTTCCGATTGTGTCTGAGCCTGAGCGGATGGCTGGGCAGCTGTTGCTTCTGGTGCCTGGGTGCCCTGCGGGGTGGCAGATGCAGGTGCAGGGACAGGCGCAGGCGCAGGCGCAGGTTTTGCTGCAGGTGTCGCTACCGGCGCCGGGGATGGTGAAGGGGCTGCACGTGCGGGTTGTGCTGCTACTGTGGCAGGCGACGGTGCTGGTGCTGGAGACGCTGCAGCCTGTGCGGGTTTGGCTTGCGCTTGAGCAGCCGGGGGTGCTCTGGTGACCTTAGCTATCTCCCAAACCTCGACAACGGGTTTCTGAGGGGTCTCGGTGGCCGCCTTCTGCACCACCTCGAGCTTGGCCTGCGAATTCCTGCACCGAGAATCAAGCATACTAAGCTTGGCAAGGGACTTCTTGTCCGACAGCTCCACAGCAGCCTTGATCTTCTCCTCCACACTTTCGTCATGGGCCTTCTTCAAAGCCTCCTTCTCCTCATCAAATTTCTGCTGTAGGGCAGCCGCAGCTTCCGAATTCTGCTGGGTGCCTCGCTTTTCAGCTTCCATTTGTTTGCTAACCTGCGCACGAATGTTGTTCCGAATGATCATCTTGATGGTTTCATTCTTCGCAACAAGGTCCCTTGCTTGGGCATCCGTCAACTCCGGAAGCCCACCTTCCATCGCAGGAGTAGCAGATGCTGCGGGGGTTGCAGGAGCTGCAGAAGCTGCTTCTGCCTGGGGCTGGCCAGGGGTCGCAGGAGCTTGTGGACTTGCCTGTAGGCTGGCCTTGAGTCGCTCCACTTCCTGGCGGTGTGCCGCCCGAGTCTCTGCCAGCTTGCTATTCAACACCTCCTTCATCTTGTCAATACGTTCCTTGACCTTCCTCTCGTGCTCGGTATCCTTGGCAGCCAATACAGCATCCTTCTCAGCAAGGGCTGCCTCGAGACGTTGCACCTTCTCTTCCAAAGCCTTGACCCGTTCGTCGTCGGTGGCGACAGCCACTTGCGTGGTCGGAGCAGGGAATTGCGAGGCGGGGGTCGAGTTGACTTCAGTCGTCGTCTCGGGTACTGGTGCAGGAGCAGCCGGCTTCTCGGCCATTCTCGCCTTGAGTTCCTCTAATTCTTGTTTCGTCTTGGCCAATTCCTCCTGGATCACCTCCTTCTCCTGTGTGACCGTATTCAGTTCCGCCTGCTTAGCGTTAATACGACCGGTAAGTTCCTTAGACCGAGCCTTGAACTGCTCCGTAAGCTTGCTGCGCAACTCTTGGACTCTATCTTCGGCATGTTTGAGCTGCTCAGGGAAGGCAGCGGCCTCGGTTTGAAGAGTGTCATGAGCCTGAATGGCCTCGTCACGCTCCTTTTCCAGGGTTGCAAGCTTCTCCTTGAGTCCTTCCATTTCGGCAGGGTCAACGCGGTCATACTTCTGCAGAATGTTCTGAGTACGTTGCTGCCAGCGATCACGATCAGCTTGCAGCAGCTTCAATTCTCCGTCCTTCGTCTCCACCACGTTCTCCAACTCCCTGACCTTCGTTTCCAAAGGCTCAATCTGCTGAACCAATTCCTCAATACGTGCAGATTTCTCCGCAAGCGACGTTTCTGCCTGCTTGACCTGGTTGCGCAAAGTGACACTACTCTCGCGGAACAGATTCAATTCGTTCAAGGTATCCATAAGTTTGTTGTGGCTGAGAGCGGTGTGGTCGCTATCAGCAGCAGCGCGACGCTGTTGCTCTAGCTTGAGACGTGCCTCGTCGAGCTGAGACTGCGTGTACTCAAGTTGCTGACGGAGACGCTTGCTTTCTTGTGTCGACAAATGATATTGCACGTCAACAATCTCTTTCTCCCTGCGTAGGAATTTGATCACTTCCTGGAGACCTTCAAGGTTGGGTGGCGAAGTTTCAGCATTATCGTCATCGGTTTCAGTCATGTTCGCGCGGTCACGTTGCAACGCCGAGATTTGGTTCGTGATATTCTCCAGCTGCGAGTGTAGCAAAGAGTTCTGGTGGAGAACCTCTTCCCGGCGTTTCTGCAAGTCGGTAATTTCACCCTCGTATCTCTCCTTAAGCTCGTTCCAGCTTTCCTCCTTCTGAGAAAGGTCCTTCTTCAAAGTCTCGGCTTGTGTCCGTAGCTCAACCACTTCCAGCTTAAGCTGATTAGCTTCGGAGCGCACTATCTGCAGGTTCTTGGCTGCCTCAGCGTGCTTGACCAATTCACTCTCGTAGTTTTGTTGGGCATGCTGCGCAATTTCAGTCTGCGCGCGGAGATCTTCCTTGTGGTACTGGAAGGCAGAATTATGACGCTCATTCTCATCCTTCAGCCTGGCAATTTCAGATTCCAAAACAGCCTTCTGCTCCTCCAAGCGGCGGCCAGCCTCTCCTTGCTCATCACGCAGCTTGGTGAGTTCATTGTTCGTTGTAGACAACTCGGAAGAAATCTCCTCAATCCGCTTTTCGAGATCCTGAATCTTCTTGTCCTTCTCCTCAATCAGACGCTCCGTCTCCTCCCGATATTCTTCATGTGTCTCAGTCACAGACTGTAGGCGTTCCTCGCTCTGCTGGCTGATGGCCTTGTAGTCCTCAACTCGCTCTTCGGCATGCTGAAGCTCATTCTTGGCCAAGTCAAGGTCACGCTTGAGTTCGGAAACCTCGATGCTAAGTTCTTGCTCACGGGTCAAGCCAGACTCCTGACCTTCCTCGGTCTCGGGCGCTGTAGCGGGGGCGGCAGTAGTAGCAGCAGAAACACTCGGTCTAGATTGGACGACTTGAAGTCGCTCTTCGGCACTGCGAAGCTCGACGGTCAATTCATCCACTCTCGACTGCAAGTGATCTCTGGTGGTCTTAGTTGCGATCAATTCTTCCCGGACGGAGCCCAAGCTTGTCACCAAGTCATCAATTCGCTTCTGACTCTGCTCATGCTCGTACTCTCTGCGCAAGGTCGCCTTCTTTGACTCTTCAATCTCATCATTGAGTTTGCGTTTGGTAGACTGCAGTTCTGACTCCAAGGATTCGACGCTTTGCTGGAGCCTGCGGCGGCTCTCAGAGTCTGTATGTTCACGCTCGTTCAGGATAGTTTGAAGGTTGGCATTCAGAGAATCCAGGCGACTTCTCTCGTTTCTCAGAGTTTCGTTGTCTTCAATCAGTCGTTTCTCAATACTCTTCCACAGATCCTTTTCTGCCTTGAGGTTCGCATTCTCGCGTTGAAGGCTATCCACCAGTCCCTTGGTCTCAACAAGGTCTTCGGCAGCTTGCTGGGTCCTAAGGTCTTGCCTGTTGGCGTTCTCCAGCAGACTGGCGTAGCGTTTCTGCAGCTCTGCATTTTCGCTCTTCAGCATGTTGAAGTTGCTCTGGAGAAGCTCGGCTCTTTGGGTAGCAGCGCCAAGCTGACTGCTAGAACGGCTGATTTCGCTCATCAACTCGCTATTCTTTCGCGAAAGCTCATTGACCTGTTGTTTCAAGGCGGCGTGATCGGTGGCAGACTCCTCACGGAAGTTGTCGAAGTGGGCTTGAACCTTGCGTAGTAGTTCGGCATAGTCGGGAATGTCCTTAGCCTGTTCATCGGCTGCTCCAGGAGGAACTGCCCCTAGTGGAAGAGACTGAGAGAAGACAGAAGCATCGCCGACGGTCTGACGTCGACGGGTCAGCATGCTTCGGAAAGTGTCTCTCTCCTTCACATAGCTCTTTGTCTGCGCAACAAGATTAGAGATTTCGTCGCGATAAGTCTGCACACGAATCCTTAGCTCCTTCAACTCTTCTTGCTCTTGTTGACGAATGACATCCTGTTCACGAGCCTCCGCGCCTTCCATCTTATCGCCTAACTCTCTTAGCATGCGGCGGAGAGTAACATTCTGTTCCTGTAGCTCATGGAGATCCTTGAAAGTCGTCAGGTTGCGGCTGATGAAGCGTCCCGTTGGGTTAAGATCTGCAGACGAGTCGTCAATTTCCTGTCGAGCAATCTTCTCGAGCTCTTCCCTATCGTAACTCTCCTCTCCTTCCTTGAGAATCGCGTTCTCCATCACTAGGACCTTCACTTGCGAGCTCAGGTCCCTAAGCTGCTGTCGTAGAATGTCGCCCT